TATTAGTAAATATTTTATGATTAAGATTATAGTTACAATCTGGATCTCAGAACATACTTTGTAGTTAGAATAGGACACATGTTTTCATCTACTCTCTAGGAAATACTTAAAAAAATTAACCTTACGTATTGACTTTGCTACCTTAATTCATGAAGTGGCAGTATCATCTCACATACATAGAACATTTAAATTTCTTCTCTTTTTTTCCCCTTTGGGCGGGGGAAGGAGAGCATCTATTTAGCAATTAGGTATCAATATTTCTTCCTGTTTCCCTTAAACAGAAATAATTGCCTTTTCTTTAAAACATGATATGAGAGATTTTCCTGTGGGGAACATCAAAAGTTAATCACATTATGGTTTTGATTAACTTGAATTAAGATAGCTTACCTAGTGTCACATTTGATGTGTTCAGCCAGTTCTGCAAATTGAATAGGCTACAAGAGCAGTTCCATGGGTTTCCATATAAAATTATTAATTCCAGATGAAATAGTTGGGGTACTTCAAAATAGCTTATCAAATTGCCTTGCAGATTCAGAAGTTTCAGGTTTCTTAGAGGCACAAAAATATCAGTATTGAGTTGTAATATTTGGTTTTGGCAGAGATATAACTGTTTTAGTTTACTTAAGCCTATAAATGCACCCTGTTCAATTATATAGATGGAGTTTCTACAGATATTTAAAATTTCTAGATTGGAGAGGTTACCAAAACTGTTATTATGTAAGATGGTGACACTGTTCTCAATCAGATAGAGCTCAGTGAGTAAAAAAAAAGTCTGCAGAACCCTTGTGTCTGTAGCATTCAGAGTAATTTGGTTATAACTGAGATCAAGTATGGCAACATTTTTATTGATATCCGCTGGAATCAAAGAATAATTCTTTTCAGTGAAATTACATTGGACTTCCTAAAAAAGAAAAAAAAATTAGAAATGCATTAATCAGGAATGATATTAACAGAATTTCCCCAAATTTCACATTCAAGCACTTAAACATTGGAAGGAAATCATTTGGGGGGAAAAAATCTATCCAATCTTTTGGTATTATGGTGTGAAAAAGGTAGAGCATATGTTTTTCTTTATTGGCGTGAAATACTAAAGATTAAGGAAATTCTGACACATATAATCAAACAGAGATTCTGGTTGGTTATACAGGTATCTTCCAACTGTTATATAATCATTCCAGGAAGAATATTGGTATATTTCTATTTATATATGTGGAAATTCATGGTAAATAATAATTTAATATTCCAGTGTACAAGATTACATTTATAATGAGGACATTATTTAAAAGTATATAATTTTTAAAACTCAGAACTACCAACATTATACCTAGGGCTGTTAAATAATTAAGAAATAATATCCAATGTATAGCTCTCTAGGGTTAACAGTGCAAAGTTCGTTTTTTTAAAAGAAAATATTTATCTTATATCAGAAATGGAGCTATGTATTGAATTTAAAGAACCACACAACCCGAAGTGCTTTCCTTATGTGGATATAGAATGAAAGAAATGCTACTTGTTTTTACTGAGTAGTAAACTAAGAGTAAATAGAACTAAGAATAGTTCTTGTTTCTTACCATTGGTACAGTTGGTGTCACACTAATAACAACAATAATAATGATAATGCAGCAACAGCAATTTCCCTCATAAATATGCATTTTTTAAAAAAAATATTTCCTACATTTTATTTTAATGTATCTGCTGTAATTCAAAAGAAATTTCAATTAGAAATTCTGAAAAACCCTTAAGGCAAGATGTCTTAAGATCATCTTGTACATTTCTTGCC